TTTGTGGTTTATAAAAAAGGACAATGAAATTTAATATTGTGAATATTGCATTTTTTTTTAAATTTGGTTTTTGTTAAGGACATATGAAAAATATGAAATTTATTATTAGAATCTCAAAAAAAAATTTTTATTCTTTTATAAACTAATTTGCAATTTAAATTTAAAATTTTCTTTATTCTAATATTCATTAAATTATTTCAGTTATCCTTATCGAAAATATGGCCTTAATTTTAATTTAATATTTTAAATATTGCCATTTTTTGTAAGAAAAATTCCAAAATATAAATATTTTATTGTATTGAGTTTCGAAATTGGAAATATTTTTGAAAATTATGACACAAGAAAGGACTCATTTATAAATGAATATTTCAATTGTCCTGAACATAGGACCCTGAATAATTACAAAAGACTTCAAATCATATTATTGAAACAATGAAATTATGGTAGAATGTAGCTTTAAGACATGGTTAAAAAAATTGATTTTATAATCACATTACATTTCGTGTTCATCGCAAATTGATTGATTTGAAAAAAGGCTCGCGTTCAAGTGTTTAGTCAGTATATAATACGCTTTATATAATTAAAATTACAAAAAGCTACCTAATTTAGTGGGAAACCATAATTTTAATCTATTACTGAATTTATTTTTTAAAATTTGAATTTTATAATATAAAAGTATTGTTAAAAAAATAGAATGCATGTTCCGATATTCAACAAAAAATTTTCTTTAGAAATTTTTTCCAACCCCCTGCATTTTCTGCACATTGATCATTCCTACTAAATATAATAGGTCAATAAATGAGAAAACTTCATATGAAATCAAAAAATTTTCAGCCCAAGCATTTCTAAATTAAATAAACATTACCATCTTAAAAAAAAAATGTAAATTTAATTATTTATCATTTAGTACATTTTATTTACAGCAAACTATAATTACTCTAAATATACAAATTGCTGAGTAAATGAAGCCATATAGTTTCTGCTCTCATCACCAATAACCAATAATAAATATTGTACCATAGGAACTTAATCGTGCAATGAAATTGAGAAATAATTCTGAAAATTCATAATTTTTCTTTTCTCTTTAACATTTAATTACTGTCATGCAAGTAAAAAATGCAATTCAAAATTTCTATAATTTTTCTAATAACATCACAAAAATAAATTAGCTAGATAGCTAGTTTTTATTAAAATTTCTAATGTTTGTTGAACAATAACATTATTTGCCTATAATTATGCAATCTAAACACTTATAGCTTCATTATTTATTTTTCTAATTAAAGAATGGAATTAAATTCTACTTATTTTCTATAATTTAATGCTTTCTAACAAAAACATACTCAATTGTTTATCTCACATATTCATACAATAAAATGTAATGCATACACTTACAAAATCTATAATAATACTAAAAAATTTTTATATCCTTAAAATGGAAACCAAAAAAAAACCAAAAGAAAAAAAACTTTGTTAAAATTGAAGTGAACATATACGAGTACAGATTTTATTACGTGAATTTAATATCCTTTTTAATTTCCTTGAACCTCACCCTGTCCTCGAATTTTATTTCGTGCTCTGTTCTCTTTTATCTTTTTTTTGTGCTTTCTGTATTTTGTTTTATTTTTCATTTTTCTGTTCATCTCATTTTATTTTGTCTTTCAAATATTTATTTTGTTTGTTTTTACTTCTCTCTTTTTTTTTGTTATATACACACAGTATATTGTTATGGATTGCAAGTTTATTTAGAAATTTTTGTTTTTTTTTATGAAAATGTAAAAAAAAGGACTTTCAAGCGCAACATTAAATGTCAGTCATAGAGAAAATTACAGATAAGGTATAAAATATATTTTGTATATTTGTACATGTGTGTATATTTTTTAATGTAAAAATTTTTTGAATATGTATATGAAAACGAAAGAAAGAAAAAAAAATGCTCACTGTTGTCACTCATACGGAAGAAGAAACACTTGAAATCAAAAACAAAACGGTAATGTAAAAAAGAGAAAAAAAAAATAATGTGATTTTTGATATTACAAAGATTTTCGTTTCTCTGCAATAGTTTGATGTGGGATTTGTGTTTTTCAAATTTCTTTTTAGTTTTAAAATTTTTAGTTAATAAATATTTTATTTTAAGACCCTCTGTAATAATTTCTGTAAAATACTAAATGTATGTACACATATAGGAGTTTTATAATGCAATTTAACATTGAATAGAATGAAAACCACTTTCTGGCCATTTTTATTAGAAAATATTAAGATATTTAAAGTCATTTTGACCATTAACCACATTAGTTTTTAAAATTTTTTCCTAATTTTTTACTATTTTATAATTGAGGCAATATATTTCTATATTAAATTTAGGAAAAATTCGGAAAATTCTCAATTACGAAATATTTAAAATTTCCTTTATTAGCGTAGTTTTAAATTTTGTTAAATTAAAAAATATTTTAAATCATTATTCAAAAGTATGAAATTTATTGACTGTTTTGTGCTCTGTTCGGTCCTTATTGTTCGGTGGGTGAATTCTAATTCTAAAATCCTCTTCCTTTCATGGAAAAACCCATTGTAGACAATCTTAAAATAGGATTACACAGTATAAAAGCGTTACACACTTAAACTGTTGTATGTACAGTCTGTTAAGTTCGAATATTCTAGTTTTTATACTGATGCATAGAGATTCTAAAGGTAAATATCTATTATGAAACCGGAAATACCAGAGCAGACAATTTATTGTATTTCGACGATTCTTTGAATGTTTCTCTGAAATTATAAACACATTTATTTTTCATTCTACAAACAACCATTTCAGTCAACGGTCTTTATTGAAAAATTCTTAAATTTTACAATATTAATTTTTCTGTTTTTGTGAAAAAAATTAAGTTAAAAAAAGAAAAGATTATTTAAAAAAGCTCAATTTTTTGATTTCTAGCCACTGTCTTCAGCCCTTCCACCTAAAACAATTTTAGAAATTTTAACAAAAAAATTGCATATTTTACGGCTAAATATTTAAAATATGTACTAAAAAATTTTAAGTTTTCACTGGCAAAGTATTGAAATTAAATTTTACCATTGAACACATTGAATGCTTAATAAAATATTTGTGTAAATTTTATTATTTCAATAGGGATTTAAGGATATGTTCATATATTTTTGTTTTTTCAAATACAAAATTACAAATTTATATTGTGATTCTTTATTTTATTTTAAAATTTCACTTATTTGTTCAATAATTTTTTTTATAAACAATTTTCTTTCCACATTTATTTTGAATATATTATAATTTTAGTATAATATGTTTATTTGTATACGAGGATTATTTAAAAGAGAAAATCATAAAATAAAACCAAAGGTAGTATACACAATCAGAGTATAAAAAAAAATTTTTCAAAATGATGAATCCCTTTTCTCATTTTTTAATTTTTTTGATATAAACAATTTTTCTTTGTCCTTTTCTTTTGTTATTTTAGTAGCTTTCTTGTGTATGATACTAAAACCATTCTAAATAATTTACATAATATGTACATAAACCATAAATACATATGAACGTTTTTGTTATATCGTACCATATATGACACACAATAATAAATTTCTCCAAAATATAAATAATAAATGTGACGGGAAACCAAAGGAAAATAGAAAGGCATAAATTCGTGTAGAATAAATAAATACTGGTAAGTAATGTGAAGTATAAATATGAAATAAGAAAATGAGCTGAGTCGCATTATATTTCTTGTAGCTGTGTCGCCAGAGAGGATTAAATTTAATTTGATTTTTTATAGGAGAGTCGCATAAAAATAATTAAGCATTCATTTTTAACTTAAGTGTTAAACTGGATCTAGTGATTTTTCCTGCACAGAGGAATGCAATTCCCGAACTCCTATTTTTAAGTTATCTCTAAATTTTAAATGATAATCAGGACCCCGAACCTAATAGACGACTTGCAATGCCATACATACGAGTAAAATGAAATTTGTTCATAAAAAAAGTCGTATTCTGTAAGGATTGCTTTTGATATTATAAAGAAAAACAGATTTTACTTAATACTTTCCAAAGGAAAGGACCAAAAGAGAACCAAAAAAGAATAACAAGGTTTATTATTTTAACCAAATATTTTATTTTATTTGTTATTTTATTCTTTCTCTAAAGATTTATATTAATTTTGTTTTTATATTGAAATTAATATTATAATTGAGTAATATAGGAATTGTTATATAGACAGGATTTTCTTGAAAGCCAAAAAATAAATACAATAATTTTTTGGGGGGAAAATAGCGTTGGTTCAAGGAAATTTTCAATAACAATAATGAAAACTTTTAAGTTATTAAAAGTAATTTTAAAAGAATTTAATAAAGCAAGTAAATTTATTTTTACCGAACGTATTGAGTGTCAAATTGTTGACGTCAATTGTCATCTGTCAAATTTCAATTGTCAAATGTCAACTGTCAAATGTCAACTGTCAAATGTCAACTGTCAAATGTCAACTGTCACCTGTCATTTGTCAGCTGTCATCTGTCACCTGTCATCTGTCAACTGTCACCTAACAAACGATTTTGTATTTTTTACCGTATATACAAAACTAATAGATGAAATTTCATGGAATTGTTAACAAAACTATTTCAAGGAACCGACAAACTTTTCAAGGAATGCAGATGTGGCAAAACGAAACTAACCAAGAGACAAATTTACATTTTTGGAGGAATTGAAAAAAATTTTTCTTTTTTTTTTTAAATTCCTAATTTTGTTAACGCTTCCTATCAGGTTGGTATACTTTATTTCCAAGGAAATTTCATGAAAAACAAATTGTACGGTGAAAGAAATCTCATATGGCATATTTTGAAATAACTAAACAAATAAATTTGAAAGAATTCATAATTATTTCAATTTCAATTCTTAATTATTTATAATTATTTCAATTTAATTAAAAATCAAAATTTAATAATAAAAAAAAAATATAAAATTCATTCTATATAAATTAAATAAAATATATATTCTGTAATTACCATCATTACAAAATTTCCCTTGATTTGATGGATCTTGACGAAATGAGAATTTTTGTAGATCAGCATATGTTTCAGCTAATAAACCAACAACAAACATTCCAGTACCAGCTGAATCTAATGTTGTCATTGTTTTCGGTGCATGAGGTTGTGTATGGCGTGGTGAATTTATTATTATAACTGGTAATGATACAACAAATACCCAAACAGCCTGAAAAAATTAAGATAAAATATTATTGTATGTATATGTATATATGAAAATTATATTGAAAAACGTAGATATATTTAAAATATTTGATGTGAAAATTCAAATAATTTTTCCTGGAATTTTTTTTTTGTTTTTTTTTTTTTTAATGCAAATCCAAATGGCTAAATAGGTAAATGACAATATTCTAGAATATTTTCATATTTCATATTCAAATATTCAAAAATTTCAATTTTTTTTTTTTTTTTGGTTTTTAATGGAACGTGCTTTATCCACCACTAACGAAAAATTTCCATACCAAAAATTTTGATTTCATTTCAATTCACAATAATCAATGTATGCAAGCTAATATATGTATAAATAGACATATCCATAGACATAGTGTGGTAAGACATGGAAAGGTAAGCTACAAAAAGAAAATATAGAAATATAGAAATAAAAATCAATTTTAAGTGGGACGTGATAAGTGTTCAAATATGAAAATTTTCATTTCTCTTCACTATGCAATTCAATCAAAGACAATAAAAAATTTTTTACTATAGATTTTATATTTTTTAAAATTATTATTGTTATTATTATTATTTGAGATTTAATCTTTTGAGAAAATGTAGATATTAAATGATTTAAATTTATCATTGATAAATTATTTTTGAAATATTCAAGGAATTCAATTGGAATTCTTCTTCCGATAAAATTGGAACATTCATTTACCTGTGAATGAATTTTAATGAAAAAATTCAAATGTAAGTCTGAGCACTATGACTGATTATGAGTACAATGATAATTCGCGTATGTTTGATCTAAATTTTCCTCACATGAACCTTGTACAAACTTTTGCCTTTTAGGGTCCAATACAACCCCAATATTAAAAAACATTTAAATTTAAATTTTGAATTCAAATTCTTTTAGTGCGAACTCAAAAATACACAATAAGTAGACAAAATTGCTAGATATTCTCTCAAAATAGTGCAAAAAAAAGTAAATTTTCATTATGATTCCATTATCAGATCATAATTTGATGAAAAAAGACTGCTTTCATTTTCGAACTCTTTATGCTGTTCAAAAGAGGAAGCATTCTAAAAATTCAAAATTCTTACACAATACTTGACCTATGTACTCAAAATAAGTATATTTCAGTTAATTTTTTACTCATATTTAATTTGATACGAAATCAATACCTGCCCTAATTGTATACAATGTTGGCCAGTTGTTAAAACAACAAAAATTTCATTAAATAAATTTTATGATAATGTGAGAATTACAAACGACTTCTATTATTTATATTTTAAAATTTTGACAAAATATTTAATAAAACTGTAAATTTTTTTTTTATTATAACAGTTTGATAGTTTGATAATAGAACAAACAATACCTTCAGGAGAATAGAAAATCATTTGAAAAATAAATTATAATTAAAAATAAGTGAAGGAACATGCAAGTAGTATGCAGTTCTGAATGTAACTAATCTTGGCCGAATGTAATTAATCTTAAGTAATTATTTAATTGTACTACTATGCAAAGGTGCTTGAATTGAGTCTTCAAAAAAAATTCTTATAAATGAATTATTTTGATTCAATGAATACGAATTGTTTTGCGTGGGGAAAGTCTTTAAATTCCTCTTTGTAAATTTATTGTTATACTTTCTATAATAACACAGGTAAAGAAACAGAATTGAGCCCACTAAATATTAATACAAATCCTTAAGCGTTAATAAAACCTTATGTCTTATTAAATAAGCTGATCCTGTGCAATATTAGAAATTATATCTGAAATGAAAAGTTCTTTATTTTTTATTCAAATATAATAACTTAGCAAAACCTCTATGGATCGAAAATATTAAAAAATAATTTTTTTTTGAAAACCTTTATTCCTTCCTTTATTCCCATTTACATATATTATATAAAATAAAAAACCGAAATCCCGAAAAGAAAAATCCATTTTTAATACAGGAAATATTTTTCATTTTTGTATCCTTAAAATGAAGCAAAAATCCTTTAATATTCATTTCAAATTTACAATCTTAATCTATATTACATTCATGCCAGTAGCTATTATATGCTTTATTGTATATGAGAATAGGCGCATACATGCATACACATATATGGTTTGCAAGTTGAATTTTCTCTTTTTTAATTCCTAATTTTAGTCATAGATTAGAAGATTATATAGAAAGAAGAATAGAAAAACAAATAGGAAACTAGTAATTGATTTTTCATGCCAATAACATTCATAGATTTGAAAAAGCAAAATAGGAAACCAAAATGGGTGAGCAATGAAAAAGGAAACGAAAAACAAAAAAAAAAAAAAAACTCAAATAACAAAACGTATGTAGTCATTTGAAAACAAGGATTTTTCGCTTTAATGTTTTTATTGTGATTCCGCAAAGTTCATAAATGGAAACGTAAAGTATAATAAACTGTAAAAAATTCAAACTACTGTAAAATCTAATAAAGAATGAAAATAAAAAATGATGTGAACAGCACATAAACCATTCCTTTGTGAAATTTTCAAAATTTATTAAAAGTTTTCTTTGTTCTTTCGAATGAGTCAGTTGAACTTTTTCATAAAATGTAAATGAAATTTTATGTACGTTCTTTGGTATAAGTTTTTCTCTGAAATTCCTCTACGAGTTAAAATTGCCTGATTTGAATAAAATTTAATGATAAATTTTCCATTTAGAAATCAGAGTTCAAATATGGGCAACTCTTAGAATAGTAGGCTGTAATTATTATAGCTTTTATTTATGAAAGTTAAATTAAAAAACAAAATTTAGTGAAGAATCAGCTTAGTTAATTAATAAAGTTGGGTCAAACCAATGGTTTGTATTGTAGCACTTTTCCCTTCAACAAGTGAAAATTCTGCTTTTAAATACAGTCTATGTATAGCTATCACACTATTATAATTATTTTCATTCATATACAAAACTATTTCTAGGATTGCATATATTTAGGATGACGCATATATGCAGTCTTTGAAATAAAGCAAAAATTAATATAAAAAGGGGTTAACATAATGCTCGATTCTAAGGGTTAATTGTGTGAGTTAAGAAAAATAATTATATTTTTTAATTTCATGGAATTTACCGTTAGCTTTTTGCGTTTATAAAAATTTGGAAAAGCTTGCGGTTTCGGAAATATAAGGTGTCAAAAATTCAAATTTTACGAAGTTCAAGAGGTGATAACTTGAGAGGGGGTGGAGATGGAAAAAAATTTTCTTCTAACGAAATGAACTCTTTGTTAATGTCTATAAGCCCCTAAAATTTTAAGCTTCTACAAGCTCGGGTCTAGAAGAAAAACGAAATCAAAAATTTGGAAAAACAAAACTTTAGATAACGGTTAATTTGAACGGCCATTTTGTTTTTCTCAAGTTTAACTGTAGTACACCGCACTAGGGGAAGCAAGCTGCTGCCTTTCTGCGTTTGCAAAATTTCAAAAATGCTTATGGTTTCATTGCAACAAATAGTTAAAAAAGGCCATTTTTAGGGTTTTGGGGGGGTATAACTTCTAGAGGAGGGGAGATAGGTAAAAATTTTGTTCTACGAAAATAAGTTTCTAGTAAAGATCTATATACGTACAAAATTTCAGCTTTCTATCTTCAAGGGTGTAGAAGTTTTGTAAACAGACACACGGACAGACGGACGGACGGACGGACGGACGGACGGACGGACGGACGGTCGGACGGACGGACGGACGGACGGACGGACAGAGTGAAACTAATAAGCACTTTTTTTCAAAATTTTTTTGAAAAAGTGCTAAAAACAACACTAGAATCCATTTTAAACATTTCATTTACATGTTGATTTGAAAATAATACTTTCATTTATTCTTTATCCTTGTACATAATAAGTTCAGTGTGCATTTGAATGTACATTTTGAATGACGTGAATTATTTTGGAAAAGAAAAAGTCTTATTCAATTCTATTTATTGTAAGATAAGAGAAATAAAGGTGTCATTTACAGACATACTACGCCGAATTATAATTGAAAATTGTTTAGCGTATTTTTTTTTTCATAGAATAATTATTTTGTAATGATTTGCATTTTAATTTAACTAAAAATCAGTGTTGCAGGATATACAAGATGTTTCATAAAATATATTTCAATTGATGAACGCATGAAATGCAAGACGAGTACTTCTAGGACGAAAAAAATCTTCAGAGAATGCGTGTGATTCAAAAATTTGAACTATTTTTATATTTTATGTAATAAAGATAAAGTAACTTCAAATTAGTAGGCTATAACGTGGCTACACTCTCGAATTCTGAGCAATTTTGTGTTATAAATGCAATTTCATATATACTTAAATTTATCGGGATTATCATGATTATTGATTTAAGTGCAATTGAATTCATTGCCGCTGGATAAATGACCAATTGAATGTTATTCTATTCCACGCATATTATTTTGTATTAAATGAATTCTAACACTAAATTTTCATTTTTAATTCCTCAATTAATTTTCTTATAAAACACTCTTAAAGAGTACCAAAACTTACAATTTCAGCTCATATAAGAAAACATCTCCTTTGCAAATTAATTCATAAAATTGTTAATATTTTCAAATATGCTTACATGAACGGAATCCCTTCACAAAATATGAAATTTAGACTAGTAAAAATGCAATAGAACACGAAAATAATTTTGTCAATAAATTATTATTCACAATGGAAATTTTGAGATTTTAAGAATATTCCAATTCTATTCCAATAAAATTTTAAAATTTCTATTTAAATTTCCATTTATACCAAAAGAAAAAATCCATCACCATCTCGGAATTCGCAAGTGAAAAAACTATATTTTCTTTACTCACAAAATAAATTTATACATAGATACCTACCCAATATTAAAATAACAAATTTCTTAAGCGAAGAAATTTATTTCCTTTCCTTTTTGAATTCCAAATTTTTATTGCATAAAGTGAAACATGAAAGCATATACTATTAAATTTTATTTCAATTGCAATTTATACATACATTATGTACATAAACGTTTATACAAATTGTAAATT